TAAAAAAAAATTTTAACCTGAAGCAGATTATATTGAAAGGGTCCTGGAACCCCGTCTTATTTTCTTACCATACATCCCATCATACAAGCACACATGTGATTATAATTCAGGGAAGGCACTGTAAAAGAAGTATAAATGGCTGTGGAGGAGGAAAAGACCAAGACTGAAGTTTTTTAATATATTGATAGTGGGCTCAGAAACTGCTCTTGAGAAAGATGACTGACAGCCATTTGTAAGAGCAGTTGAAACAGAGACAAGAAGGTAGGAAGGGACAAGGTTCTGTGAAAATCATGGTATGAGAAGAGTAGGAATTAATGAAAGAGACATTTTTAAGATGATATACATGGAATGGCAAAAGAAAGAAAAGTTAAAGAGAACGCTGGGCATGGTATAGAGGAGCATGCCTATAATCACAGCTACTTGGGAGGCTGAGGCTGGAGTTCAAGGCCTGCCCAGACAACTTGGCAAGAACCTGTCTCAAAACAAAAATTTTAAAGGATTGGAGATGTAGCTCGGTGGTAGAGGCTTGCCTAACATGCCCAAGGCCTTGGGTTCAATCCCTGTACAGAAAGAGAGGAAAGGGGAGGGGAGAGGAGGAGGAGGTGGAGGAGGAAAAGGAGGAAAACAAGAAAAGGAGGAGGAGGAGGAAGGAGAAGGAGAAGGAGGAGAAGAAGGAGAGAAAAAGAGACAGGCTAAGACTTTCGCTTTCAGCTTGGGTGAAATTAACAAGATCCAGGCATTAGAGGTAGGGTGCATTTGAAGTGGGTTTGAGTTATGCTAGTTGAGGATCTGGGTGGTCAAGAGAGGACCAGCAGGTAGGCTTAGACCCCTGGCCCCATGACATTGTGTATGATATAGGGATGATATATGGTCATCCAAGTAATATAAGGGAAATATAATTCCCAACTACTAGATGTCCAATACACCAAGTTCGTGTTCTCTAAAATTGAAGAATGAATTTTAGGAACAATGGAGGTTAAGAGTAAGAAATAGTGAAAGATAATTTCTCAGAGACAGAAGGGGGCCCAGAAAATGGGTTGCTCGCGGACCCCACTTCTCAAGGGTTTTATAGAGCAGAGCCAGGTGAGGCAGGTACAAGGTGGGACAAAACTATAGTCAACCAATAGGATTATAAGTATGGTCACTTGGGTAATATTGATCCAATGGAAAATCACAAGGTGGGTATGAAGTGGGTCAACTAATAAGATTATGAGTATAGTTGGTTAGGTAATACTGATTAAATGGCGATCAAATGGGGAAGCAAGTCACGTAGCAAGCATACATGGAAAGAACAAGGATTTTCCAGGAAGGAACGGGCTAAGGGAGGTTTTGGTCCCCCACCTAAGGTGATTGATGCCTATTTAGGATACCAATCACTGCTCTTCGTCCCTAGAGGAAGTATGTGGGTATAATCATCTTTGTCTTAAAGCCTAACTTTCAATGAATGTGCTTACAGCCACAGTTTTAATATGTTCTTATCCTCTGCATCTCTCTTGAGGGCCCAACCCTGTTTGACTGCCTATTTTAACTTGGCTGTCTACAATGCCAGGGCCCACTGCAGAGGAATATTTTGACAGCAGGTGCGAGGGTACAAGACTCACCCGAGGGCCTGGCCCAGGGTTCCACATGCTGGCTGCCATTTCCAGGGTTTCTACAGGAAGCACACAGGAAGGAGTGCAGTCTAGTGCAGAACAATAGTTTCCAGCGGGGTTGCTGCAGGCCCAGGGAGTCTGCGACAGCGCTGCGGGTTGAACCAGCTCCCAGGGACTGTTGGTCTGCAGGGAACACTTTGAGAAACACTGGCTTGGAGGAAGAATATAAGCTTTGGGTTCAGAGGAACCAGAGATGGATTTCCAACCAGCCTCTCTCTGAGCTTCAGTTTTCCCACATGGAAAATGCAAAAATAAACTACTGACCTTGTCATTTGTGAAGACTAAAGAATACACATGTACAGAACCTATTAACAATGAACACAGTTAATATTCAATGTGTGGTCTTTTTTAAATTTTATTTTTATTAGTCTATGTTTACAGTATATGTTTACATTCCTTGTATGGAGTTGGTACATGTACACAACACACCTTAATTCCTTTTTCATTCCCTTTTCCTCCCCTCCCTCCCCCCTTCCTCCATTTCTTGATCCCCTTCCCATGTGAGAAAGATCTGTCTCCCTGTAGGTAGGTAGGATGGTAAATGGTAGATAGGATGGTATAAGTAGGATAGCAGGTCGTTGGTAGGTAGGGAGGATGGTAGGTAGGAGGTAGGTAGGAAGGTACATGGCTAGGCAGGTGGACAGTCACACAGGAAAGCCAAAACCCGCTAGCAGTAGGCAGAAGAGGAGCCATGATGAGGAGCAAGGACACTTGTGTCCCTGAGCCATCAGCCTCAGGTGTTTGGTGCCTGACCATTAAAGACATAGCTAGGGGCAAGGGGCAGGAACTTTGGGGTGGGGCTGCCATCCTGGTAGTATGCACTGCAGAGAGTGACAGATACACACCTGGTGTGTCCCAAGGGAAAAGTGGGCTCCAGCCTGTCATTGGCAAGACTTGTTTTTCTGGACAGGGCTTGGGGTGTAGCCTGGCACTTCAAAGAGTATGGGCACGAAATGGACAAGAGAAAAGAGGTGAAGGCAGTCAGGCATAGTGGCACACATCTGTAATCCCAGCACTGTGGGAGGCTGAGGCAGAAGGATCAACAGTTCAGCTCAGGTGGCCTATTTGGTGATTTAGAGTCCTGAACCAAGTGTGGGGACATCCTTGGTGGTACCCCTCCCCCATTTATACAGTCACCTGCCTATGAAGCCCACGGTGAGTATAGGATCCCAGGGCCACCTATCATGCTGGGGTACACACTGGCAAACAGAAGTAGCCTAAATTTAGAAACTCTGTAGCTAGTTCACTAACTTTGGGAGCCTCTTTGAATAAAGAGAAGCTCCATGAAAGAGAAAATTGCTTTTCTCCTTTTTCTTTTGCTTTTTGAGACTAGGCCTCACTATGTAGCCCAGGCCAGTGAATTTACAGCAATTCTCCTGCCTCAGCCTCCCAAGTGCTGGGATTACAGGTATGTGATATCACACTCGCCCCCAAATGACATTCTAAAATGTTAAGAAAGAGATGTTTCTCCAAGGGGCTTGCCTTTGCCATGCCTCCTGTTGTCTCCCTCCCACCAGACTCAGGAAGGCATGGGATTTAGAGACCTATCCTGCTCACGAAAATTCAGAAGCTCCTTGTTTGGAATCTTTGGCATCATTTTAGGATTAAGTTTGAGATCCACAGGTTCACACTGGGCAGTACATCCACACACTCATGCACCGGTGAAACCTCTGCCCAGTCTGCCCTTTGAGCCCATGCTTGTCAGGCAGCGTCTGCAACCAACACCAGGAGGCAGTGTTGCCCAGGGGTCTGTTCGTAAGGCCATGGCCAGGTTTTTCCCTCCAGCTCTGTCTGCTTGCTGAAAAACTTTTTTGAGCCCTTACTGCAAAAAGGTGAAGGGACATTTTAAATCATCTTATCCCAATTTATATTAGCTTTATGAGGAGCAACATAAAAGGAAGTGCAGAGGTACTTCTGGTTGCCCTTATGCCGTCGTTAGCTTGGTCCCTTACACCATGCAGACTAAGGCCAAACAGGTCTGGCTACAGGACCGACTGAAAGAGATCTTTGTGAAATGAGGGGCCAGAGATAGAGAGAAGCTTAGATTTTTTAAATTTCAGGTAAACTCAGTGCAATAAAGCCCAAGGCACTGGCTTTGATTATAAGGGAAGGAGGTTCCTGTGGCCTGAGGCAGCTTTCCTGTGGGCAAAACAAAGTAGCAGTGATACTGACAGAAGCTAGAAACAGTCTCCTCCCAAGGCTGCCACGCGGCTTCCCAGCAGGTCTGGGGGCAGTTCCAACCCTGCAGGGGCCACAGGAAGAAGCCCACAATGTGTGGCTCCTGCAGATGTTCACTGAGTTCCTAAGGTAATCATAGGAAGAGGCAGATGTCATCATCTATGTCCAGAAGGATATTACAAATGATGCTAGGCATGGTGGCGCATACCTGTAGTCCTAGCACTCTGAGGCTAAGGCAGGAGGACGGCCATGAGTTCCAGGCCAGTCTGGATTACACAGTGAGTTCAAGGCCAGCCTGAACTAGAAAGGGAGATCCTGTCTCCCACAAAAGGCCTTGAGTGCCAGGTTAGAAAAAGTGGATTTTAACATATGCAAATCAAGAGCCAGTTTAAAAAAAAAAAAAGAGCCAGTTATGAGTTTTAGAAAAGAGCCCAGAGCAGAGATGCAGGAAGATCTGCCTTATATAGGATAGGTGGAAGGAACACAAAGAAGGAAGCACTTTAGACAATTATACACTAAAATGAAGTCTCCTTCTAGGGAAGGTGGAGTGCAGGCTATTTGTATCTGAATTTCAGCTCCCTCACTGGGCCTTAAACAGATAACCCCACTGAGTCCCTTCCTTATCTTTTGTTTGGTTTCAGATTTCTGAGACATCTCACTACTTAGCCCAGGCTGGCCTTGAACTCACTATGTAGGTCAGCAGGCTGCCCTGGAACTCATGTCAATCCTCCTGCCTCACCCTCCCAAGTGCTGGGATCACCCCCATACTGGGGATTGAGCCCAGGATCTCACACATGCTAGGCAAATGCTCTATCACTGAGCTACATCACCAGCCCTTTTATTTTGAGACAAGGTCTCAATAAATTGCCAAGGATAGCCTCAAACTCTCCAGCCTCAGCCCAAGGTAGCTAGGACTGCAGCCACACGCCACTGCACCTGGCCGATATATAATATTTATATATTTTTAAAAGTTATTTTGATTTTTAAAGCTTGCTTTTCTAATTCACATGAGTGTCTAATTGTCTTATTTATGCAAGTGAAATTCAGAGAATTTAGATGCGTGAAGCTTTGAGAAGGCAGACTATCCAATTATCAAATGCTACAACAGCAAGACATATGCAATATAGTAAGATGATTCTGCTGGTAGAAAAAGCAAACAAAAGACCTCTCCCCAAAAAGAATTAACTTGTTTTATTTCACTCAAACCAAGCTTACTACTTTGCAGGTTTTTCTTTGGTGAGAAATACATACAATATACATATTGTTGTTGTTGTTGTTTGAAACAGGGTCTTACTATGTAGTTCAACATGGCCGTGAATTCACTATGTAGCAAGGCTGGTCCTGAGTTTTCAACAATTCTCCTGCCTCTCCCTTCTGAGTGCTGGGATTACACGTATGTGCCACCATGCTTGCATATATACGGTATTTAAATTCCATAATTTTTTTTTAATTCCATAATTTTTAATCCCAAGGATAGTTAAAGAGATTCAAAATACTTTAGCAAAGGCTGAAGCAGGAGAATTGCTGAGTTTGAGGCCATCCTGGGATACATAGTGAGTTCAAGGCCAGCCTGAACTACAAAGGGAAACCGTCTCAAAACACCACACCAACAGGCATGTGCCACCACACCCAGTGCACAATGTGTCTTTTAATGAAATAAAATTTTTGCATTTAAATATAGTTTGTACTTTGTATTTTTCAAAAATCATTTTAATCTAAAATCTGGTCCTATAAATCTCTCTCACACACCTGAGTTAGCAAAGAACAGTGCAAACTCAGGAGCAGAAGCTTCTGATTTAAGGACTAAAACAAACATCACCTGAAGCATCTCCCTTACTGCCCTCCACCCCTCCAGGAACCACACCCCTGAATTTTGTTTATCTCTTTGCTTTTTATGAAGCCTTTAAAAATATATAGTTTACTTTTGCTTGTGTTTGATCGTAATAAAAATGGCATTCAAACAAACTACATCACACAAAATATTTTAGCCAAAAAATGAGTTGCGTGGTCAAAGGTGGGAGAGGTACAGGGTTGGAGAACATAAGCAACCACTGTCTTGAAATTCCTTTTTTTTTTTTTAAGGAAATGAGAAGTATCTTTATTTTCATTATTGTGTTCCCCCCTCCCTGCTGGTAGTGGAGATCGAACTCAGGACCTTGTGCTTTCGAGGCAGGTGCAGTGCCACTGAGCTAAATCCTCCGCCCTGTCTTGAAATTCTTCCAGAACTATGTTGCTTAGGAGAGTTTGATTCATTCAATGAAATTATAGAAACTAAAACAAGGGCTATTTGAAATCCACAGAAATTCCAGCTCAATCTCAGTTTTCTGAGTGCTTAAAAATGAAATTTGAACAATTCAGTATCACATTTCTGCAAAATTCTCAAAAGGAGGCAAAAGCAAGTGTCACTGGATAAGTTGCTTGTTAAAGTTGTACGAGAAGAGTCCATGCAAGGCATATGCCTGTAATCCTAGCATTCAGGAGGTTGAGGCAGGAAGATCACTGAGAGTTAGAGGCCAGCATGGGCTACACAGTAAGACCCTGTCACAATAAACAGTGGTTATGAGAGGCAGGGAGAACCTGTATGTTTGGCTTTTTCTTTATGCTCCTCTCCTTGAATATTTAAGTCCTCTTTCAGCACAGTGGGAGATATTTTCTACAAACATCACCCCTGCCCTGAAGTTGTCAATGATTAGGAGACATCGGATCAACCCCGGAAACACCACACTGGTGTGGTCTGGGTGCTGTGATCGCCTCTGCCGGGAGAAGTCGGAGCCCCATCCCTCTTTGCCACGGAAGCAGCATGAAATTCCCAACAGGCCCTATCCAGAGCCAGGCTGGCTCGGATGAGAAGGAAAGGAAAGCAGCCTGCCCACCTTTTGACATCGAACCACATCCTTCCAGCTGCCAGCACCTTGCCGGGTCTCTGACACCCCTGGACCTGTGGCCCACTTGTCTGCCAATCCCACTGAGCCTCCTTCTTGGCATCCTCTCTGGCTGCTCACCCTGCCAGGCTAGAGTTGCATTTAGTTTGATCTGTGACTCGGCTCTGATCCTTCCTATGAGGTGGCCTGGTGCCACCTAACCCTAGCTTGAGATATGGTCTGTCCACCCCAGGACACCAGGTCAAGAACAAGCCTGGTGATGCCTGATGGCGAACCTCATTACTTTATTCTTTCCATAGACAGACATTTGCTTCAGGGGAGAAATGACATATAATGCCAGAAATGGGGTTGCCCTTTAAGGAGAAGAATGTCTGGCCCACCTAATTTGGGGGAAGTTTCTTTTTTCTCCATTGTTCAGGTGAACTATAGTTTGTGGATTAATTGGATCTTTTCTTCTACCTTGTCTGGCCATCTGCTTCGCTTCTCAGTTATTTACAAAGTTCTTTCATAGCATCTTTACCAATAAAATAAAAGAAACAGAAAGTGACATTAAATTTTAAAAATGCCCTGTTTTATTTACTATTAGTTTATATGGTAAAATATGCAACATTTTATTCTTTTGTCTCCTTTTTTTTTTTGAGACAGGGTCTCGACATGTAGTTCAGGCTGGCCTCAAACTCACAATGATCCTCCTGCCTCAGCCTCCTGAGTGGGTGCACCACCACAACACCCGGCTGGATTTGGATAACTTCTGAAAATAGCTGAGTGGATGAGGAACAAACCTTCCAATGAAAACAATTAGTAAAGCTACACAAAATTCTTGCAAGGTACTGAGGACAATAATAACACAATAAAGAATTACAGAACTGAAAGCTGGGTAAGGTAGCACATGCAGTTAATCCCAGCATTTGGGAGGCTGAGGTAGCAGGATCATAAATTTGGCTGAAAGAAAACAGAAAGAAAGAGAAAAAGAGAGAGAGAGAGAGAGAGAGAGAGAGAGAGAGAGAGAGAGAAAAGAAATGAAATGAAATCCATTCAGTGCAGAAATACTGTTATGTTAATCCCCCCCACCCCTATTTGACACTTTTTTTTTTTGGTACCAGAGATCAAACTCGGGTCCTTGCGCTTGCACAGCAGGCAGCAAAACCACTGAGCTAAATCCCCAGCCCCGTTTGACACTTTAGACTCAAACCACCCTAGCCTGTAAGAAACTTTTAAAGACTTGCACTGTAGCTTGCAAAAGACTATTTTATGACACATGTCAACAAAACTGAACCCCACTTTCTCCAATAACAAACAAATGGTTTTTTGCACTGTTACTTTTTGAATGGCATGACATTAATGAGAATTGTTTGTGGCTTTTAGGATCATCTTGTTTGGAGAAAAATATTCTCTGCTTTACCACTTGTTGCCAGGTCTTGCAGAGATAGGGTCTGTAGTCAACATCTGGTTCATGAAGACGCTGACAGGCCAAAGCGGGCCCTTCTGGTGAGTTCGAGGCTTTCTGCATTATACTCTGTGTTGTTGCGAAAAGAACCAAGCGATACTCACTGACAAGTCTCTCTAGGACCTGAGCACATTTCTTCAGAGTAGACTCCTGTGAGGTAACGCTCTCCCCTCCATTGACTCGGTCTATCCAGTAGAAAGCCGACAGGGTATCCAGAATCAAGACGCACAGAGAGGGGTGACTACACAGCAGAGCTTCTAGTGAGTGAAGTGTGAGCAGAAGCTGGGTGCTACTGTTACAACAGACTAAAAAAAATCTTCCAAGGCAGTGTTTTATTATTTCTTCTGAGCTTTGAGACAGTCTATGCTCAAGAATTGTAACAAGCCGAAGCATGTCAAAGTGGTAATCTGTATCGATAAATAAGACTTCTAGTTCCAGTCCACCTTCTGATTTTGGAAGTATACATCGTGCTGTTAAATGATAAAGCATTTCTGTTTTTCCTGTTCCCTCCGGACCATGAAATTCAAGAATATCACCTGTGTAAAAATTTAAAATGTCACTCACAGTGCAGCAGCACAAAAGCAGGTTACAAAGAAAAAGTATGCAAAAAGGTTTAGAAAGGCATATACTGGAAGGTGAATGAAAATCTATATCCATTTACCAAACTGGATCTGTATAAGGGATGATCAAAATATACAGTGAATGTTAAAATTTTTTAAAATGTATTACAGTAAGACACATTGGCACGAATCCTTCTCAAGATACTTCCCCTCACTTCAAACACAATTGTCCCATCATTCTTGCCACTTTCTGAAGCAGTTCTGAAAGTCATCTTTCCCAAGTGTCTTTACAAGGTGTGCTCAAAACTGGTAAATGTAGCTGCCAAGTGCCATCCAAATGAAAGGCAGGCTTGTAAAACAACATGACACTGTGTCCTCACCCACCTTACATACCAGACTTCTGGCTCCTTCTCAAAGTCAAAATAACCATGAATGGTAAATGTTTTGAATCAATTCAGGACATCAAGGCAGCCACGACAGCGTAAGATACTCATGAAAGAGGACTCCAGAACTGCTGACAAAGTGGCAAGAATGATGGGATCAGTGTGTTTAAAGTGAGAGGCCAGATTCTGCAGGGGATTCATGGCATGTCTCATACTGTAATAATCTTTAAAAATTTTAAAACATTCACTGCATTTTTTATATTCCATGTATAGGGAAATACAAGTAAGGAAATTATTATTTCATCTCTGAGTAAGGAGTCCACCTTTCAGTATTTTGTTTGTTTTTTGTGGTGCAGGGGAATCAAACCCAGAAGCTGGGCATGTTAGGCAAATGCTCTACTACTGAGTACAACCCCAGCTCAGGAATAAGCTATTAATGAGCATAAAGAAAAGGTTTTAGGGGCTGGGGATTTAGCTCAGTGGCACTGCACCTGCCTCACAAGCTTGAGGTCCTGAGTTCGATCTCCAGTACCTAAAAAAATAAAAAATTTTTAAAAAGTTTTAAAGAAGAGGTTGAAGAGCTGGGGATTTAGCTCAGCGGTACTGCCGCCTGCCTCCCAAGCGCAAAGTCGCAATTTCGATCCCTGGTGTCAAAAAAAAGAGGTTGAAAGGACAGCAGAGGACTCTCCTGGGGCTGGGTCCGCAGGGGCTCACATTTAACACGGTGAGGCCTTTGAAAGGCCTGCTGCCCATGACAGCCCACATGACTCTGTGCTGATCACCCCATAGCCATCCTCTCCTTCTTCCTACAGCACAAACCCCAATTTGTGGGGGAAGGTAATGTATCTTTCTTAACAATGATTTTTCTTAGTTTTTCTTGTAAAGTGGGGTTAACAGGTAACAGTGGGAGCCACTGAAACACAACATGACATCGCTGCAGATCTCTGGGTCAGCATCCTACTCAGGCGTGACTTCTGCCCTTCTCCTCCCTGGTCCCTCTGAGGGCGGAGGGGCAGGAGGACAGGTGGGGCCCAGCACTTGGGAAGTGTGCCTGCCACAATGCCACTCTTGAGGCGAGCAGCCAAGCCTCTTGAGGGTAAGCCACTCAGGTGGGCTCCCGCTACCTGCCGGGGAGCACAATCTCTAGTCTGGTTTCTCATGCTGTTGAGACTACACAAAGTGACTTGACTTAGAAGTTTCACATGTTATAGATGATGAGGGCCCATGGCTCTCAGACTCTGCATGCCAGAAGCGCCCCTCAACTGGAAACAACTCCCACATATCCACACTGCCTTGCTTGGTTACACTCTGCTGTTGGGACATTGCTTACAAAGGTATCCGGCTGCACTATAAACTAGTTTCCTAGTATTATGAATCAAAGTCAACTACTGTCAAGTTTATTTATTATTACTGTATTATTATGTAGGGGTTTTTTTTGCTATCAGGGATCGAACTCGGGACGTTGCGCTTACGAGCCAGGTGGCAATTTTGTGGGTGTTTTCTTTTGGGGGGATCGAACTCAGGACGCTGAGCCTGCAAGGCAGGCGGCAGAACCACTGAGCCAAACCCCCGGCCCTAGTGGGGGGTTTTTTGAGACAAGATCTCACTCTGTAGTTCAGGCTGGCCTTGAGCTTGCTACAATCCTCCTGCCTCAGCCTCCTGAGTGCTGGGATCACAGGTGTACACCACCACGCTCAGCTGTGAACTTTGAAAGACTTAAAATCTTTCTATACAGGTTCTAATAACTCTCATTAAGGACAACACAAGTTGAATAAAGCAAACTGAGGTAATTAGCCCATTTCCAGAACTTTTCAAAATATATGCCCAAGGCTAATATTCCAATTCTTGCTTATCATTAATTTACGGTTGAACCACCTGATTGGAAATACCATGTTTTAAATGCTGATTTTTAGGCCCCAAGCAAATTATAGACTAAGAATTCAGTTGCTTTATTTCCTATCATTACTAAAAAAAACAACTGGATGTTGGAATATTCACAAATAAGAAATCTAGGGCACAAAGTTATAATTAGGAGAAATAAGTTCTAGTGTTCTATTACATAGTAGAGTAACTACAGTTAACAATAGCGAACTATATGTTTCAAAATAGTGAGAAGGAAGCCTGGTGTGGTGGCACATGCCTGTATTCCTAGCACTTGGGAGGCTGAGGCAGAAGGATCGGTGCAAGTTTGAGGCCAGCCTTACCATAAAGAAATGATGTTGAAAAAAAAAAAAAAGAAATGATGTTGAGGTGATGGATATGCCTATTACCTGACGATCATCACATAAGGTACATATGTAATGAAAAATCTAAATTGTACCCCATAAATATGTAAATTACACATCCATTAAAAAAATCATCAAAAGTCTAGCACATTGCCACCATATTATATAAGATCGTACATAAGCCAGGTGTGGTGGTACATGCTCATAATCCTAGCACTTGGGAGGCTGAGGCAGGAGAATCACCAAGAGTTTGAGGCCAGACTGGGATACATAGTGAGTTCAAGGCCAGCCTGAGCTTCATAATGAGACCCTGTCACAGAAAAAAAAGATAATATATAAAACTTCTGCTAATTTCAACAATATTACATACAATTTGAAAATCTAAATTTATATTAAAAATAATTTCAAAAAATGATTCCCGGGCCAGGGATTTAGCTCAGTGGTTTTGCCACCTGCTGCGCAAGCGCAAGGACCTGAGTTCAATCCCCAGTACCAAAAGTAAAAAAAAGAAAGAAAAAATGATTCCCGCCTCAAGGAGTAAAACTATCTTCATATTAACAATTGCTTATTAAAAGCTCTTGGCAGCAGCATAACCAGGTTGAGTCCCAACAACTATGGAAAACAAAGGCAAGGAGATAACTGCAGCCTAGGAGTTCGAAACCAGCGTGGGCAACACAGCAAGACCCTTTCTCCTAAAAGAGTTAACAGCAACCAAGACTACATAAAGCCACACGTTCAGATGACCTCTGCTGCTTATCACAGAGGCGCCCATGGGAGCCCTCCGCCTTTCACTGCACTGCACTGCAGAACAGTACACTTCACACATCAGGCGAGGAAACGTGAATGCAGCACCCATATCAACATCTGCCAGAGGAGGCTGAAAACAGTTTAGCGAAATCAAAGACACCATGGACCATACAGAAGCAAGATGGGGAAACCAAAGGCAGAATGTGCACATCTTCTGTCTCCTTTCCCCAGAGAAGCGGCCAGAAGAGGTTAAGCAGCAGCAGCTGACCTTCAAGTCTCCTGTGACCCCAACACTCTTGAGGTATGAAAGGCAAACTCTTGTCGCTCCCACACCACATCATGCTATGTAATTATTGGTTATTTGCTGCTTCTACTTCCTATCAGCTTAAGGTTGGGCCTTGAATAGTCTATTCCCAGCACAAAACACAGTAACTTCTCAATGTGCTTCATCAAATTACTTTCTTCTTGAGATTCTCTTGACAGACATCTAAAGAATGCAAATGTAAGTTCTCACTGGTGAAGGTTAAAGGCCCAGTCGACTGTAGAACGTGGCATTTGAAAAGGAAACGTCTTGTAGGAAAGTGACATGCAGCATGTGGCCTTGTCCCGAAGGTGAGATGGCCTGAGACCAAGGTTTGGCCCAAGGCACAGACAAGAGGCAAAGCATGAACAGCAACAGACTTCCCAGTGCAGGGCCCTCCCTCCAGAGGCCAAGCAGACTGCCACTTCAGTTGTCAGCTCTCCAGTCCTGAGAGGTAAATCCCAGGGACAGGCTGGCAAAGATGAGGTGTGACTGAAAATACAGTGAAGCCTAATTTTTAAATAAATCTATTACAGTAAAAGACACACTGGTATTAATTCCGCTCAAAATCCTCCCCTCCCTTCAAACACACTTCTTTTGTGAGTGTCTGGCTGTGCTGTCCTGGCTGCCACAATGTCCTGAATTGATTCAAGGCCCTCACCTTTCATGGTCATTTTGACTTTGGGGAAGAGCCAGAAGTCTCATGGTGCCACTTCAGTGAATAAGGTGGACGAGGACACAACTTTTTACCACCTTGCCTTTCTGTTGGGTGGCTCTTGGCAGCAGCATTCATTGTATTTTTTTTTTAAGTCACACCCTGTAAACATGAAAAGGACTTCCAGACTGCTTCAGGAAGTGGCAAGAACGATGGGATGTGGTAGTCCCCTGTGTCTGAAGCAAGGAGGTGTATTTGAGGGAGAATTAATGGCAATGTATCTTTATTATAATAAATTTAAACATTCACCATATATTTTGCTCACACCCCACATTCCATATCAAAGACATATAAGAAATAGATTTTACTTTTTAATCTCATTTCCCCCTTCAAGTCCCCTCTCTTCCCTATGTACTAAAGCTTTGTTTCCATTTTTTCCTTCTATTTTTACTTTTTTTCTTGTCCCTTCCTTCCTTTTTCCTTCCCTCCTCAGAAATAGAGATTTTAAACTCACATAAATATCCTGGCAAGAATTTAGTTTTCTGTGGCAACATGGATAGCACTAGAGGATGTTAAGTGAAATAAGCCAGGCAGAGAAAGATAAATATGGCAAGAGCTCACTCATATATGGAAGTTTAAACATGATCTCATAGCACAGAGCAGAA